TCCATTAGTTCTAATTGCTCTTTACATCATGACTAATGGGAAAATATGTTTAACATGAATGTATATGTAGAGCCTATATGGGATTGTATGCAGTCTGGAGGGAGGGGAGGGGGAAGAAATGAGAGGAGGAGAAAATTTAAAACTCAAAAGCTTATGGAAATGAATGTTGAAAACTGAAAGTAAATAAAAAAAAAGAAAAGAAAAGAGAAGAAAGGTCTTTTGTCCTCCATCCAAGACTCACTTTTCTTATGTGGGTCTTTTCGCTGGTATCTGGAAAGGACTTTAGAGGAAAATATTTGTATTTCTTAAGATTTCTAGAGATACTAAAAAAGAGGTTTGTAACTTGCTTCCAGAGTACAAAAATCATTTCTCTAGGGGAAGGCAGCAGAGAAGAGATTCAGCCACGTCCACAGGGGAGAGACTGACTGATTTAGCATCAGGAAGACCAGGGTTCCAATCTTGCCTCAAACACTTACTAGCTGTGTCACCCCAAGCTCATCATTTTACCTCTCTCAGACTCAGTTTCCTCATCTGCTAAATGGAGATGATAATAGCCACCTCAAAGGGTTGCTGTGTGGACTGAACAGATAATGTGTGTAAAGTACTTTGCAAACCTTAAAAGTGCTATTTAAATGCTATTGTTGTTATTATTATTATTAGATTGGCTTCTTAAGGGGCTAGATAGCACATTGGAAAGAGCCCTGGGCCTGGAGTCAGGAAGACCTGATTTCAAATCCAGCCTCAGACATTGGCTGTGTGACCCTGGACAAGTCACTTCACCTCTGTCTGCCTCAGTTCCCTCATCTGTAAAATGAGAATAATAACAACACCGCCTTCCCAGGGTTGTTGTGAGGATCACATGAGACCATATTTGTAAAGTGCTTAGCAGTGTCTGACACATAGTAGGTGCTCTAGCTATTATTTCCATGATAGTAATCAGCATAGAAATGATCATTAAAGGCATGGAGCACATAGTGTCTCCAAGAGACCTTGTAGAGGGAGGAGAGCCTAGGCTCAAACTGGAGTTCTGGAGCTTATAGAAGTGGAAAGAGGGTGAGGATCCTGATTAAAAAGGAACAGAGAAGGGAAAAACCAGGTCCTGCAAATCCCAGAGGAAAGACTCCATGGGAGAAGAAAGGGGAGGCTAATGGTATCAAAGGCTGCTAAGGAGTCAAGAAAGACGAGAAGTCATGTTTGTTGTTGTGTCTGACTCTCTGTGACCCCATGTGGGGTTTTCTTGTCAGAGATACTAGAATGGCTTACCATTTCCTTCTTCAGCTCATTTTACAGATGAGGAAACTGAGGCAGGCAGGGTTAAGTGACTTGCCCAGGGTCACGCAGTTAGAAAGTGTCTGAGGCCAGATTTGAACTCAGGAAGATGAGTCTTCCTGATTCCAGGCCAGGAGCTCTATCCACTGCAGTGCCACCTGGCTACCCCTAAAGAAGTCATTGGATCTGGCCATTGGCAAGAGCAGTTTCATTTGACTGATGAGATGCAGCAAAGGGCAGAAAAGTGGACCTGAGCTGGGAATGAAGACCACAAGTACACCCAGCTTCTTTGAAGAATTGGGCTGTGAAAAGGTAGAAAGATCTGGGACAGTGGCTAGAGGTGGCCGTAGCATCTCCTACAGGTCTCTTGTGGTCAGGACACCTGTAAGCTGTGGTGTGGCAAATGGTGGGAGTGTCCGTGGCTGAGACTCAGCTGGGTATAATCAGTGATATGATAAGGGGGTTGGTAATTCAAGAGAAAAGGACAGTGTGGAGTTAAATTGGTTCACCAAGAGTAGAGATGGGAGAGAGGAGAGTAGCTAGTGCAGAAGAGATGGCCAGGAAGAGGATTGAAGGGTCAAAGATTGGAGGTCATGATGAAGAGTAAGGTTTTGAAAGGAAAGACAGAGGGAAAGGTGGAAAGAGCTGGTCAGATAAAGGGATTTCAGAGGTGGCACGTTTGTGAATGATAGCAAGATGGCCATCCTTATTTGTGGCTGAGGTGGGCTGGACAAGGAAGCCAAAGGAAGTAAGCAGGTTGAGGAACTGAGTCATTAGGGTGCTTGAGGGGAAGTCAATATATATGTTCAAGTCCTCCAGTAAAGGGCAGAAATTGGGAAGGAGATGAAAATTGTGAGCCATGTACTGAACTCATTGAGGAAGGGAGGGGAATGACCTGGGGGGGATCTGTAGACACCAGCTACCAGGATTTTGATTCAGTGGTGGAGATGAATTGCATGACCCTCAAAAGAGGAGAGGTTGCTGAGTAATGGAGGGAGGGGGAGAACCTGGATGTGCAATAGGGAGCAAGAAGCATCCCAATTCCTTTGCCTCAACTAGTGAACTGAGGAGAGTGAGGGAAGATGCAGCTAGTGCTGGAGAGGTAAGGGAGGCTGGGTCATGGGGGAAGTCAGGCTTCAGTAAGAGCTAGTAGATGGAAGGAGTAGGAGATGACAAGACTTAGGATGAAGAGAAGACTGTTGCCTTTGGAACAGGCATTCCAGAGGGCACAGGGGAAAGGCTGCATGGTGTTTGGCTGGAACTTTGGGGTGGAGGGTAGAGGAGATAGAATAAGGAATCTGGGGGTGGGGTGGAGAATAGGGCTTAGATGGTGGTCTACAGGAGTTCATAGTCACCGGGATGTGAAGGCTATGACCAGGAGTGAGAAGTCAACATTGAGTGAAGGCCCCACTCCTCACCTCAAAGGAAGCTAGACTTTAGGCAGGAACAGGAGAAGGAAGTCCCGCTCCCCACCAACTTTCCTCTTCTTCTCTTGAAGGACAGGAGCACCAGGATGTAGAAGACGTGAGGTCAAAGGGAAGGTTAGTGAGGAAGAATGAAGAATCTGGGGAGTGAGATCCCAGAGCTTAAACCTCAGCCACTGGAAGGATGCTAGTGCTCAAGACAGAAACTTGAAGGAGGGACAAGTTTAAGGAGGAAGAGGATAAATTCTTCTGGACATGAGAGACATTTGAGAGACATCACAGCAAAGTTGGCCATCATGGGTGGTAGCTGGAGATATGAGAATGGAGCAGAAGACCCATCATCCCATGAGAGATGGATTAATAACTGAACCCAAGGGAACTGATACATGGACAAAAGAGCTGATGGAGAGAAAGGTGGTCCAGGATGAGACTTGGGCCATGGGCTCGCTTGGGGGTGTGGAGACGGATCATGATCGAGTGAAGGGGCTGAGAAGGAGCCCTCCTTCAGGCTGGAGAGAGAGCCTAGTGCCCAAGGGAGCTGAGAAGTGGGTGGGGTGGGCAGTAGGAAGGGGTAAGCAACTGTGGTGTCAGAATTGCAGGGACACCAGTGAGGACTGAGGAGGGCACACGAATATTGAGGTCTCCCAGTGCAAAGGCAGCAGTTGGGGAGGAGAGGTACGCGGTGATAGTGGAGAGAGAACAGGGATGGGGTGGCCTGCTGATGGCCATGACAAGGTCTGGACATGGATGGAGGAAAGCTTCATGGGTGAGGTGGCAAAGGGAGCCTATAAGGGCAGGTGGAGGAGGGGGTAGGGACCCAAGAGGGGAGCAAAGGAAAGAGGATCACCTCCCTCTGCTAGCCCTTTCCATCAGGGCTTGGGGGGACCCAGGCAGCCACTGAACCCAGAGGGACTGTTCCTCCTGGGCCTGGGCCTTTGCTGCAGATGAAGGCTGAGTCAGGATGGGGAATCCCTCGAGTAGTCTGCTAAAAGTTGTTTTTTTTTTTTTTCCCCTCTCTTGTTCTGGGTGCAAATCCTGCCCCTCATACTGTGTGTGTGACAGCAGGTCAGATTTCCCTGGTCTTTGGTTTCCCCCTCTGCAAAGTGAGGAGGTTGGACTTAGCAGCATCTGCCGTCCCTCCCAGCTCTAGACCTAGTATCCTGTGTGCGACCTTGGACAAGCCGCCTTTGCTTTCTGAGCCTCAGTTTCCCCATCGGTAAAGGGAGGGACCTAGCCTCCAGGCCCTAGCTCTGGGAGGCTGTGGTCCTGGGCTTGTTTGGGTATGTCCTTTGCCCCCTCACACTTCACCTACCATCAGTTTTGTTGCGTGCTTAGAGAGTTTACTCCTCACTCCCCCCGCAACTCCCCCAGTTGATGTGTTCCGTGAGGGATCCAAGGATCCCAGAGCCAGAGATGGAGGTGACCTTCTTGAAGGCCATGGAGCCCCATGCCCTCAGTTTCCAGGAGAGGAAACTGAGGCACAGGGACAGTGCTGGGGGGGGGCGGCGGCCCGTTAGTCCCGGGGCCCCGCACTGGGGGGGGGGGAGGGGTGGGGGTGTCTGGTTGCCTTAGCCTCTGTGTCCTGGGGGTGCTTCCTTAGGTCTCTGCGGATGTTGCAGCCAGCGGATGAGGGAGGGGTCCCAGCCTTCCAGGACGGTGGAGCCGAGGGAGGCGTCAGAGCTCCCTGCTCCGCCTCCCGGTCCAAGAAGCCGCCCCCTACCCCCCCATCACACCCCCATCGGCCCTCCCCAGGCCAACACTGACTTTCTGCGGAGGCCGGCACAAAGTTACTGGGAATGTAGGGGGCCCCCGCGGGCTCAGCCTGGACGGGGGGGGAGGGGGGAGAGGGGGAGGGCCGGAGTCTGCCCTGGGACAGTGTCCGGGCTGCCAGGTGCGCTTCTAGATCCCTGCCCGGCTGCTGGAGCGAAGGGGACTAGGGCGGGGGACAGACCAGGGGGCTGGGGGGGTCTGGGGAGGGTCCGAGGGGGCGGCGACGATGGGGGGGAGAGCGGGACGCTGTCCGGGGGCCGTCTGGAGGGCCTGGGAGGGTCCAAGGGGGAGGGGCGGGGCCTACAGGGGGCGGGCCGAGGGCGGGGACAGTGGGGGCGCGGTCCGGGGGCGGGGACGGGGAGGGTCCGAGGGGGCGGGGAGGGACGCGGGCTGGCCAGAGAGGGTGGGGCTCCGGCCCGGCGCGGAGGGCCTGCTTCCCCCCACAGCCCCCCACCCCGGGCGCTCACACTCACGCGCGGGCACACACACGCGCTCACACTCACGCGGGCACACGCGCGCCTGCGCGCCCCGGGAACAATGCCCCCGGTGTCCAGGCCGGGGGCTCTGCTGGGCGGGGGTCCTGGCTCAGCTAGGCTGATCGCGGGGTCTGGCGGTGGCGGCAGGTGAGTCTCCGAGCACAGGCGGGGAAATTGAGGCAGCTAGGGAGTGGGAGGGAGCCGTCCCCAGAGCCTGGGGGAAGGCGCCGGGGTGGGGGGGCGCACAAGCGCTGGGGCTGTGGCAGCAGCAAAGATCGGGGCTCCAGTCCTGGCTCCGACACCCACCCTCCGAGCCCCGGAAGGGGCTGGGACCTCAGAAGCCAGCCCCCTTGTTTTGCAGAGGAGGAAACTGAGGGAGAATGAAAGAGAATTAAGGGGAGGAACCAGGTCACACAGCTAGGAAATGTCTGCCGTAGCATTCGAACCCAGGACTCCCTGGATCCAAGCCCAGCACTCTAGCCAGGTCATACTGCTTTTCCACCACGCCCTCCCTGGACCTCAGTTTTCCCATCTGAGTCGTGAATCTTGTTTGAGTGCGCTCCCATCTGTTCTGCAAACACTGAGCCCAGCGTGGGGTGACCAGAGCCCCTCGCCCTGGGGAATTGCCAGCAGGCTGAGCTCCGACTCCAGGAGAAAGACTCAAGTACGAGATAATGAAAATATCACAGGAGAGACAGCCCAGTATGGAGTCAGGAGGGCCAGGCCGGGTCTCAGGAGAATTGGGTAGTCTGACTGGGTAGGAAGGCTTCACTGAAGAAGCAGACACCTGCCCTAGAGGAGGACTTTACTGGATGGGGAGAGACTGGAGGGCTGGGGGTCCAGGAGAGCATGGCAGACCATGGGAGCAAAGGGGTGGAGGTGGGAAACTACCAGTGAGCTCTGGCAGCTCCATTTTGGCTGGAGTAGGGAGGGAGTGGACCCAGGGGAAGTAGCCTGAGATAAGGTTTTCAGGGAGGGGGAAGCCCACACCCTGTGCTGGGGAGGACGGCCTCAGCAAGAATGTCTGGGCCCCCTGGCCTCCTTTGCCTGGTGAGTGGGACCTGGGAAGGGTGGGGAGGGATGGAGTGTGTGACCAGTCAGTCAGTAGCTCCTTCCCTCCCATGCCTGAGCTTGCCCTGCTCTGTACTTTGAGTCCACCCGATTTCACAAAGGAGGAAACTGAGGCCCAGAGAGGTTCAGTGACTGGTCCCTGGTGTGGTAGCCAGCAAAGTCCAGGGACTGCTAGAGGCTTTGCTGCAGGCTTCACTGGCCCGTTTAGCTGCCAATAAACCCTGGGGGGGGGGGGGGTCCTGAACCCCAGGGATTCACGATCAGGGACCTTGAAGATATTTGTTTATTTTTGGTGTGTGAATGGGGGGTGGGAATGCTGCTGGGTGAGATTGCAGGGGGTGTTCCTCGGCATTCCTGCCTGGAGATTAGATTACCCAGGACAGAAAAAAGCCTCTGCAGCCCCGTGGGACCGTCATGACTTGACTTGTCCCTCCCCCACCCCGGTGGCAGGCTGTCACTTCCTCCATAACTCACCCAGGCCAGCTGGGGGGGGGGTGTGGAAACCCAGACACACACACACACACCCTTCCCCCAACTGGGCGTCCTTTCCTGGTCAGACATGCCTAGCTTGGCCTGGCCTGGCCAGGGGGCGCTGGCAGTTCTGTTTGGGTTGGCTTGGGGGTTTTGGGCGCTACATTAGTCTTTATACTCCAGAGTAGGGCCTGGGGTACTTGGTTGGGTGCTGCTTGTCCCTGCCTCAGTCCTCCCCGCACATTACCTGCGTCCCTCTCACATCGGTCAGCCTGAGTGATTCCCATTGACTTCACTAGTACCAGAAATACACCCTTCATCCCACGATCCCTCTTGCGGAAGTTGGCCCAGACCCCGATAACCTCTTGTCAGAGCTGCAGACCTGAAGGGCTAGTCTTACTCTGCAGCCTCCCGGGCTCCCTCCCACTGCTAAGGGGGCCTTGCGTAATCCTGAGGCCTCTTCTCTCCTCAGAGGTATGGAATGTGGGCTGGCAAGGTGCCGGCCTTCACAGGTTAGCTGGAGCAGGGCGAGGGTGAGCCGGTAACCCAGGCTCTCCCAGGGAAGGCTATCACGACTAGCATCTGAGGAGTAGGATTTGTGAGATTCCCATTTTACATGTCAGGAAACCGAGGCACCCAGCCTTCCGAGGTTGCCAAATTAGCAGATGTCTGAGGTGTGATTGCCTAGAACATCATTGCCATCCTAGGACAGTGGGTGCCAGGAGATTCTCAGAAGAAAAGATTCCAGGGAGGCAGGCCCCTTCCTCCAGAGGCCCTCCTTGGAGAGGACCTCAGGTCAGGTTAGGAGGGCAGCTTGTCCTGCTGTGTGTGCCGCCTAGGCTGGGGGTTGGGAGGGGTGGTATCAGGGCCCTGAGAAAGGCCTCTTTCTCTGCCAGGCCCTGTGCAGTTGTGAAAAATCATGATAGCTAACATTTATATAGCACCTACTGTGTGCCAGGAACTGTGCTAAACACCGTACACATAGGATCTCATTTGATCCACACAGTAACGCCAAGAGGAAGGTGCTGTTATTATCCCAGTTTTACAGATGAGGAAAGGCAAACAGGTTAAGTGACTTGCCCAGGGTCATATAGCTAGTATGGGCAGCATTTGAACTCAGGACTTCCTGACTCCAGGTCCAGCACTGTATCCACTTCAGTGCCACCTAGCTGTAGGTCAGAGGACAGGTGACAAAGGCAGTTACCAAAGACTGACCTTGTGACTCCCCCCTACCCCCAGGGGCTCCCTCTCACAACTAGGATCAAGAATGAAATCCTCTGCTCAGCATTCAAAGCCCTTCGGGACCTGTCTCCCTTCCCCACCCCCCCACCCCTTCTTCGCCTCTGATCCTCCCCTGAGCTCTGGGATCCAGTGACACTGCCAGACACTCCATCTCCTGACCCCACACCTTTACCCTGGCTGTGCCTGATGCCAGGAATGCTGCCCTCCTCTCCTTAAAGTCCCAGTCCTCCCTCCCTGTCAGACTCTGCACTTCGTCCTGTGCCAAGCTCATGGGGACGCGGCTATTGCAGGCCATCTCCCACGCTGGACTGTGTGTTCCTTCAGGGCAGGGACCGACTTCTACCCTCCTTTGTAACTTCTCCCCTCCCCCCACACACTTCATGCCCCCTGCCCACAGGCCCACAGCAGACTGACTTTGATCGACAGTCCCCTAATCCCTCCCACTTCAGACTCAGCCCGGCTGCCCAGAGGAGAAGGCTCTGGGCCCCCAGGACACCCTTGTGTTACAAAGAATGGGCAGCGGCTGTCAGGGTGGACAGGGCTGAGAGCTAACTGGGCCCCTCCTCCCGCCCTGGGGGACCTGGGCGGTTTGCCCACCTGCAAAATGAGTGTGTTGGCAGCTGCTCTCGGGAGGCGTGCTGGCCCTTGGGCGCCTGGGAGCTCCAGATGTCTGGCCCAGCTGGGTTCAGCATCTACTGTGGACTGGCAGGGATGGGCTTAGAGCTCAGAGGGACCTTCAAAGCCGGCAGGCTCAACCCTCTCATTCTACAGAGGAGGAAACTGAGGCCTAGAGAGAGGAAGGGAGCTGCCTATGGTCACACCCAGAATCCTAGAGGCTCAGGGAGGGAGAATTTGAACCCAGGCCCTTTGATTAAGGACAGCTGCAGGCTTCCCTTAGCTCTCGGTTAGCATCTGAGGAAGGGCACTCTGCATCCAGGGTCACTGACTAGGTCCATGTTTGGCCTTTCTTTTCAGGGAGTGCGTCAAGGACAGGCCTAGACACTAGCAGGGAGCGCAGCCCAGAATGAACCCGGGAACCCCCCGCCCAAGATGCACCAGGGCACCCCTCTGACCTCCGGGCTCCCGAAGATGTCAGCGTGCAGTGAGTTTGTGGAGCACATCTGGAAGCCGGGCTCCTGCAAGAATTGCTTCTGCTTGCAGAGTGACCACCAGCTGCAGCGGTCCTCCTCCGTGGTCCAACCTGGGGCCCCCAGGAGGGGGCCCACAGAGGAGGAGGGCTGCGGCCCCTCGCCCTGCACCAAGCCCACCATCGCAGTGAAACCCACCATGATGAGCACAGAGAGCACAGATGCATGGGCTGGGATGGAGGCGGGCCCTGAGACCCCACAGGTGAGCCCTGGCACTGTGGCACCGGGGCCTGCTGGGCCAAGCCCTGCATCCTACATCCAAGGAAACTCAGACTCAGATGGGGTGAAGGGCAGATGGCCAGAGTCCCTGAGCATCCCGGAGCTGAGCTTTCCCTCTACAGGAGTCAAGGGAAGCTGGGTTGGAATCATGCCCCAGACTTCATGGTTGTGGCCTTCTCTTCCCTTCCCTCCATGGGCCTTGGTTCCCACATCTGTGAAGTGGGTGGGCTTGGCCTCCCCAGCTCCGGAGGTCCCTTCCAGCTCTTGGCTCCCCAGACCTCTCCTGAGGAGCTCCTATTTGTCTAGATCATTGACTCTGCGGCCTCCCACCTTGGGCCTGCCCCCTCTGGCCTCTGCCGCCTCTGGGGAGTTTGTCTGACTCATCCAGAGATGATGTCGCACTGTCCTTCACAGGACCAGCTCAGAGTGGCTGGGAATTGTGGGGATGGGTGCCGGCCCTGCCCACCCTTCCTCCACATCCAGAGATGTGGGTTTTCATACGGGTTAGCCTGACCTGTGTTTCCAGTACACAGGAATAGAAATGGGCCCCCGAAGTCGTCCAGACCCCCATTATAGGCCCAGGAGAGCTAAGTGCCCTTGGCCAGCTAAGCACTAAACCTCCTCGGAAGTAAACTGGGTTTGTTGCGTCTCCCCAGTACCTCAGTGGAGTGAAAGCAGGCCAAAGGGTAAGGTGAGAGGGGCTGACCATGCCATGTTAGAGGCTGCTAGGGGCACCACGATGCGGAATGCTGGGCCTGGAGTCAGGAAGACTTGAATTCAAATCCAGCCCAGACACTCACCAGCTATGGGACCCTGGGCAGGTCACTTCGCCTTTGTCTGCCTCAGTTTCCTCATCTGTAAAATGAGGATAACAATAACCCTTCACTCCTAGGAACAAATGAGATAATATTTGGGAAGTGCACAGTGCCTGGCACACAGTAGGTGCCACATAAATGTTTAGTCTCTTCCCTTCTTTTTCCTGCCCCCATTCATTTTGCTCTCTGCACTAGAAAGGGAGGAGGCAGTGTGGTGGAATGGTCAGAGCACTGCTTCTAGAGTCACAAACACTGGGTTCTAGTCCTGCCTCTGACTGACCCACCTTGGGCAGGTCACCTCATCTCCTTAGGCAGCCTCAGTGTCCTCCTCTGTCTAATGACTAGTTTGGCCAGTGAGGTCCTGACAGCCAGCCTGGATTGGAGGCGGGCACTTGGTTTTGCCCTCATTTGACAGAGGAGGAAGTCGAGGCTCGGGGTCCTGGGGAGGCTGCTGCCCGCTTCACGAGGGTCAGAGACAAGGGGCGGGTGGAGGGGGGGCCTCCTTCTCTCTTCTTCCTCTCCCATAAACAATTCCCTCCCTCCCTAATAGTATCTCTGACCCTTGGACTTGCCCAGGTGCTCTGGAGGCCCACGCCCAGCAAGCTTCCCTTCCTGGAACCCCAAGACACTCCGAGAACCTTCTCCACCAGCAGCCTCAGCCCTCACAGCCTCACCGCCAGCGCCCGGCTGGGTCTGCCCAGCCTGGCAAGGCCAGGGAGCAAGGATAAGGGAGGCCACGAGGACAGTGCCACCCCTCCCTGTCAGGAATCACCACCTCTGGTCCACCAGAGCTTCCACCAGAAACTGGCTGCCTTCTTAGAGAGGGCTGGGGGCAGCAGCACGCCTCACACCGGAGGCCTGCCCTCTGCCTCCAGGAGCAAGGATCTGCAGCCCTCGCCTGGCAGGGACCTCGACGGGGGAGAGTACTGCGCCATCGCTGAATGGTGTCCTGCCAGCGTGCAGGGCTCCAGAGGTGGGCACGAGAAGGCCAGGCCTGTACCCCGGGGTGCTGCTGAGACTGCCTCGGCCCGTGAGGAGGGCTGGGGCCCCAACCTGAGCAGGGGACACTGCTGTCAGGACCCTCCAGAGAGCAGCTGCGCCTTCACGTTGGCCCAGAGGAAGCTACCCCAGGCCTTGGAGGCAGCCAGCCTGTCCGATGGCCTGTCCAACCCCCCTGCTGGGCACCCAGACAGCGACTACTGCTCCCTCTCAAGGCAGCCTGAACTGAGGAGACTGCATGACCTAGGCCCAAATGGGGGGAGCCCCAGCAAATCCTCAGGTTCCCTGAGCCAGCCCCCAGAATGCAGCCCGCCAGAGCCCATCTATGCTGAGATCACCAAGAGGAAGAAACCGTGCCCACTGTCCTCCACCCTGCCAGGCACAAGTGAGCAGGCTGGGCACAGCCTGGGCCAGGACCCAGCAGGGGAAAGCTGGGGCCGAGGGAGGCCCAAGCCCGATGTGGCACCCCAGGTGGCGGCCAAGGTGACCATCATGGCTGCCCACGTGGAGGACGACCAGCGCACCATCTACCTCAGTAGTCCTGACTCAGCAGTGGGTGTGCAGTGGCCCTTTGGGCACATTGGGCCAGGCCTGGAGGATACCCCCATGCGAGAGCAGCCACTTCACAACCACCTGCCTGGCCCAAGGAGTGAGGACCTGGGAAGAAGATGCCCAGCTATCCCCCCCAAGGTCTGCAAGGGGAACCCTGGGGTGTCTCATGGGTCCCCAGAGGGCTCTCCACTAGCCCAGCTCAAAGATGGCTACTGGGGCCAGCCGGCTGTCCCAGGTCCCACAGACACCTCCTCCTCCTCCTCCTCCTACTCCTCTTCTTCCTCCTCCTCCAGTGCCAGGGAGCTCAGCCGGTGCCTGATGCCAGCTCAGTCTTCCTCCTGGGACCAGAGAAGGCCCCGCTTCCAGGGAGGGGCCAGGAGCTACCAGGGTAGGATAGAGGAGGAAGACAGGGTTGGGGGGCTGGATCCAGGGCCAGCCAGCCCAGGAATGGCTAGGGAGATGGAGACAGCCAGCGGCAGCCAGCTCTCCCGGGCAGAGAGCATCTCTGAGCAGCCCAGCCCAGCTGAGGGAGGAGCTGGGCCTGGCATGAGCAAGTCAGCCTCCTTTGCCTTCGAATTCCCCAAGGACAGGAGTGAAGCAGAGGAATTCTCACCTCCTCCCCCTCCTCCAAAGTCAAGGTAGGTGGCTTCATGCCCAGAGGGCACAGAGATGCTGGGACCTTCACTCTAGAGCTGGGTGGGACCTCTGAGAGCATCACTGAGAGCGGACCTCGCACTTGACAAGAGGCCCAGGAGGGGAGGAATTTGTGCCCACCAAGCTCACAAGTAGAGCTGGTATTTGAGCCTAGGCCTTCTGCCTCAGAAGCCTGTGCCCTTGCCCCTGGGCCACTTAGCTCTCCTGCTCTCTGGGCATTAGTTGATGGTTTCGTGACTTGTTGTGGCTCCAAACCTTCCCTGGTGGCTGTCCCTGCACCTGGGCACTCAGTAGACTGTATCCCAGCTTGCCTTCCTCAGGTAGGACAGGGAGGAGTGTGTGTGTTTGTGTGTGTGCTAGTGGGAGTGGGGGGTGTCTTCCTGCATGCTAAGTCCCTTCCACAGAATCCCTTGTGGTCCTTTCTGAATCCTCTACAGGAGGGTCCCACCCCCTTCATGTTCTTAGAGAGGAAAGAGTTCTCTCTGGAGCCAGGATACTTCAAGGGAAGGAGTTTTACTACTGCATTTAGAGTCCTGCCTCGGACATTTGGTATCAGTGCAACTCTGGGTACGTCCCTTCTCCTCCCTGGACCTCAGTTTCCTCCTTTGTAAAATGAGGGAGTTGCCTTTGGTGGCTTTTGAGGTCCCTGCTCCGGTCGCCCTACTGTGGGCTTCCCATACATGGTCTCAGGGTGGCAGGGGGCATGTTGCTCTCTGCCTTTGAAGGTTTGGGGCTGATTGGGAGGTTGCCTCCTCAATCTGCTTCCATGTTCAGTATGCTTGGATGAGTGAGTGAGTGAATGAATGAATGAATGAATGAATGAATGAGTAGTGGCTGCTGCCTCTGCCAGCTTGGCTCGCCCTCCACGTGGGTGTGACGTTTCCTCATAGGCCCAGATCCCGATGCTTCCTAAGTCACTTAATGTTTTTTGTGCCTTTGAAAGAAAGGCCCAAGGAGGCCCGAGGTGCCAGGGGCCAGGCTAGAGGCCATGTGGTATAGACTGCTCAGCAGCAACAGTGTTACAGGCAGGCCCACAGTGAGAGTCCAGGGGTCAGCTTGCTTTTTGGGGGACATTTACACTAACAGAGGAGGAGCTGGAAGTGGAGGGGAGAGAGAGCATGGCCCACTGGCTGAGGGCCTGGTGTTCGGCTCAGGAGAGACCTGGATGGGAATCCTGCTCCCAGCACTTAACCACCTGAGTGACCTTGGGTGAGTCCCTAGCCCTCCCTGAGCCTCGGACTCCATGGCCTCTGAGGGCGCTTGCAGCCTGAGATCTCAGCGCACACCTCTAGGCCTCGTGGGTTGCAGGAGGGTGGGCAGGTCATGCACTATCTGCATAAGCTCCCTGCCCTGCCCACCTGCCAGGGGATGATGGAGGGCCGGAGTTCTGCTGACTTGTTCTGCGGCAATGCAGGGCTCCCAAAGGAAAAGAAAAGATAAGGACCCTTTTCAGCCTGCCCAGGGAATTTAAATCCTGGGGAAAGTTTCTCTCCATCAGATTAGTTTAGGGTTTTTCTCCAAAACGAGAAAGTGTGCTGTTGCTTGATGGGGTCCCCTGGGAGGCCCAACCATGGGGCTTTGTCCGAGTGAGAAGAGATCTGCTCAGGAGCCCACTGCTCTGCTCGGGCTTGGGAGAGGACTGGGGCTCCTCAGAAGTGAGACATTTCCATAGCTCTGTGTGCTGCGCACTATCCAATCAGATCCTCTTGCCAATAGCTCTGTAAGGTAAGGGCTTTTATTATCCCCATTTTACAGATAGGAAAGGGCATCTCAGAGAAGCCGTGACTTAGCCCAGGGTCCAAAAGGCAGCATGCATCTGAGAAGGGATTGGAAGCTAGGCCTTTCTGACTTCAGGCCCCACCACCTTGTTGGTCACCGAATGGAAGGCTCAGACCCTGTCTGGGGCCAGGTTGGGCGAACCGAACCAGGGCAGGAGGACGGACGTGGAACTTGAGTTTCTCTCCTTCGCTTGGGTGAGGCTAGACAGGGGTCGTATTGGACAAATGAACTCACTCACTCTCCTACCCTCCTCCCTCTGTAGAGTCCAGCCTGGTCCAAATCCCAAGAGAATACTTGAACCCCGGCAACAGTGGCAATTAAAGCTGACCAGTCTGAGAATGCCAGCCTTGAGGCCAGAATCCAGGTTGCCACAGAACCCGACGAAGGTGGTGCTCAAGTAGGACCTGAATCAGATCAGGTTTTGTCGGGCTCCGGTGTGTATGGCCAGGCTTTCTCTCAGGATGCCGAGCCCTCAGACTCTGAGATGCCCCATGGGTTGTTAGGCCTCGTGCTATACAGCCCTGCCCAAGCCCATCTCTGGCATGGAGACAAGGCCATCAGGGCACTGCCAGCTTTCTTTGAAGAGTTTCTGACTGCAGTGGCATCGGCTTGAAGCAGGAGTCCATAGAGTGCTGGGCTTGGAGTCAGGAAGGCCTGGATTCCAATCCTACCTCAAATGCTTGTTGGCTGTGGAACCCTGGCCAGATTCCTTTCCCTCCCCATTGCTGTGAGAGGAGAGGGTGTAGTATTGTGGAGGGGCTGCAGGCCCGGGGTCCAGGTCTCATAGCACATTGATTGGGCCTCTCTGGACCTGAATGCCAGCCAGGCCATAGACTCGAGAGCGAATAGGTCAGGGCCGCTGAGCACAGCACTCTACTAGGGCCCAGGACAGCCCCAGGAACCAGTCATGCAGAAGGAATTGGGCAATGAACTGGAGACTCGAGAGGGTCAGCAGGGCTGACTTTGTCCCTTCCCAAGTCACCCTGTGCCCTCCAGCCTTGCTTGGCACAGTGAAGCCTGTTAACTCTTCAGAAAGTCTCTTTGCCCAAGGATGGGGCCATATTCCTTTGTGCTCTTGTCTCCTCTTTTTTACACACTGTGCAGAAAGACAGTCAGTGTTAGGTGGGTGCCCTGGAAAGAGGCAGGAGCTTCCCAGCACCCCCTGCCTTGTTTGACAGGGCACCCTCTAGGCCCTTACCCCAGCTTTCCCCGGGGCCCCCTTGGGGTGTCCAGCAATCACTTGTGGCTCCTGGTGGGCTTCATCTTCCCTGTAACACCTGGAGTCCAAAGATTCTCATGACTTGATAATGCCCCCAGAATGTGCCAAAAGAGTCCAAAAGTCTGGAAATGGCTATTTCTAAATGTCTGAATCTAATCTAAATGGTCTTGTTAGTGAGCATTAGATGCACCACTGACTTCACTTTCTCGGCTTCTCCACATTTGGAAGGAGAGAATCAGGGCCGTGTACATAGCAGGCTGTAAGACACGTTTCTTGCTTTCTCTTTCCTTATCGTGGTGGTGAGTCCCACAGACATGAGCTGCTCTGCTTTGTACAAGAAAAGCCCTGCCGGAGTTGTCCAGATAGATGAAGGCTCCCTTTAATATCATGCCATGCCTTCCCGCCAGGCTTCTGATCTGTTCTGTAAACTTCTCATCTATTTCTTCCTTCTGTCCAGGTGGTCTGTAGTCTACTGTAATGGCAATATCATTTCTATATCTGTCTCCATTAGTGTCTATCTAAATGCTTCCCACAAGGCTTTTCCTCATACCTTCCTAATCTAGAATTTCACTCTGTCTTTTCCTTTCTCCCAGGCTCTTTGACCCATCCTGCATCTCTTTAATAAGGTATGCCCTTCCAGAACTATATTGTGGTCGTGGGACTTATCCAAGCAACCCTCAGGGAGAGCTGGGAGGGCAAATTTGCCTTCTGACATTCCGATCTCAGGTTCCCATTGCTGACTTCCCATGCTTGGATCCTTTGTATCCAGCTCCTTTGGGCTCCTTATCTTTATTATTATTTTTCTGCATATTTATGTATTATCTCTGCCTCCTATGAACTTCTGGGCTTTTGTAATGCTGTTTATCTTCCCATCTTCAATGGGAGAGGTTCTTAACCTGGGGTCTGTGAACATTTATTTTTTAAGTATTTAGAGAACTGTTTTTCAATCTAATTGGTTTCCTTCATAATTCTGTGTATTTCGTTTTATGCATTGCAGACTGCCGAAGGGTCTGTGGCACAGGAAAGGCTAACGCCTGTCTCTTTCTTTCTATGTTAGCTGTCTCTGTTCTCCTCTCACCTTTCTTTTCAATTCAGAGATTTTCCAGAGTACAAGGTAGAGCATGCTTCCCAACCCTTATCAGGCATGCCCTCCTAGAAGAGCAGAGCACTCTCTGCCATCATAGTAGGGTACCTCAGTCACCCTCATCAAGAAGTCACCAAGCCCCACCCCACCCTAGGGATCTTCTGGGACAGGAGCTCTCCCCTGGAGGCGCTGTCTCTCTGCATCCTCCTTACCTGGTGCTGCTGCTTCTTGAGGTCAGCCAGTCCCCTCTGCCTTCAGGAAGAGACCTACAGCCTGGGCTTTGCTGGTGCCAGCCTGCACCTGAACTCTGGAACCACCTGGTTCATTTTCAGTGTGAGCATTTACATCTCAGTAATCAGCATACACTACAAATGTGGGCTTAAGAAAGTGATGTCAGGAATTTTAATAAGGCAGTTTACTCTTTTTTTTTGCTAGGCAGTGGGGTTAAGTGATTTGCTCAGGGTCACACAGCTAGTAAATGTTATGTGTCTGAGGCCAGATTTGAACTCAGGTCCTCCTGAATCCAGGGCCAGTGCTCTATCCACTGCACCACCTAGCTGCCCCAAGGCAGTTTACTCTTGAAAGTAGGTCATGCACACATTCTTTCCCCCAGAGATCTAGTTGCTAAACGCTGACCAGTGTGCCCCTGCCCATACCAGGCTGCTCCGTGGCTCAGTGTTCAGTGTGCCTTCCTCCCTTTCTCTTAGCCACCCCTTGCTCCCTTTCTTGGGTTCTCTGCAGGTTGGATGAGCTTTTATCTGGACCATCGATAAGAACGTTCAGGAGCGAATGGCAGATGCTGTTCAGTAGGGACGATAGCTCCCCATGATCCAGCCATTTGTTTTCCCTGCCAGAAAAGACAACAGTCAGCCTGCCACGAGCTGGTTGGGTTGAAGCCCAGC